AAATGATTTAGAGAATTGGTTGTAGAGTTGTTAGGAGGAGGAACAAGGGAAACACACACTTCCTATAGTCAACTTGCTAAAAGGGATAAAGCAATGGTTAATAATGTTATCAATACTATTATATAAAATACTATATAAATACTACCTAACACTGCCTTCCCCTTTAAAAGAAATATTTCTAACGTAAAAAAAATAAACCTTTAAAAACTTTCATAACAATCTCAAATAATCTATAAATCGTACTTTTTAGAAAAATCTTAAAGCGGAACAACAAAGAAAATGCGCGCGCCGCGCGCACTCTAGAGTGCTAACATGATACAACTTCTTAAATCTACGCGCCAGAAAATCTAGCAATCATTAATCATAAACCGGATCAAACCGGGTAAAAACTGGATATTCTTATCATAAAACTGGTAGAATCCAAAATCAAATATTTAAAAATGCTCATCAATAAATGTTAAAAATCTTAAGGTAAGCTCTGAAACTCTTCGGCATTACCATTGTTAAGTCTCATTGACCTAGTTACCCTTTCAGTGGTCTCGTTCACAGGCGCAAAAAAATTGTTTGTAAACCGTTGTTGATCAACAACAAGACGTGAAGTCGGAGTATTAGAGGGATGCTCACCAGGATGAGGCAGAACCAGTGATGTAGGTGGAAGAGAGGGTGTGATGTTAGGTGAAACAGGTGTTGAAGGAGTCATCTGGGCAGGGGCAGTATGGAGAGAAGTATCCAACCTCGTGAGTGGCGATACAGGGACCATGAACTCAACTAGGTCGATCTGTGTCGGAGATGATTGGCAAGGCAATTCGGGTGTTTTCATTGCTTCTATTTTAGATTTTGCAGGTACAATCTTATCGTGGTGTAGGATCTTTTCAAATCCTTTAGGACCTCTAATCCCATAGTTCGCAGGGCCAATCTTCTTAGCTATATAATAAGGGCCTTTTAGCCATCTTACGTTAGCGCTCATATGATTTCCATAGTTCCTCTTCAGTAATACTTCTTGGCCTATCTCGTATCTCACCGGATTAGCCGACTTGTCGTAGCGCTTCTTATATTCTGCTTGTGACTCCTGGCGATTCAGATCGGCGTTCTTCTGAATTACAATAGGGTCAAGTATTTCCTCCTCATGTGTAGGAAGCTGGAGAAGACTGTCAACGGGCATACGGGGTTTGGTTCCCCACATCATCATAAATGGAGAATACTGAGTGCTCTTGCTGACCATATTATTGGCCGCTAGAATTGCTTCAGGAAGGACGACGTCCCAATCAGATAAGTCTAATTTACGTGATTGAATCATAGATCTCATAATTGTTTTCAGAGTACCGATTGCTTTTTCAGCAGAACCATTACCTTGAGGATGAAAGGGTGACGAGCGTATCTTTTTAATGTTGAGGTCTTTACACATTTTGTTTATCACTTCTCCGTCTACATTTTTTCCTTGGTCTGAAATTAGTTCGTTGGGGATTCCGAAGTAAGGGTACCATTTGTCCCACAAAGCAGATTTCACGACTTCTGCTTTTTGACCTTTCATTGCTGACACCGCCATAAACTTAGTGTTTGAATCCAGCATCATCAAGAAACAGTTGTTACCTCGCTTAGACACAGGAAAACTCCCTATATCTATAGCCAACATTGCCCTCGGAGGTCGAATCTGGGGAGTGATTAGGTTGGCCTTGCAGCCTCTGGAAGATTTGCACTGGAGACAAGTTTCGCATTTTGATATTAGTGAGAATACTTGATCTTTTTGACCTTTCCAATAGAATCTGTTCTTGCACAGTTCTAAAGTATTAGGAGCTCCAACATGGTGTTGTCCGTGTAATTCTCTGATAATGGCTTCCTGCCATTTGTCTGGAACTATAACTCTCAAACCTTTGCAGAGTAACCCATCTCTGATACTTAGGTTAGTGTATTGCTTGTAGGGTCCAGCCTCAATCTCTTTGCCATTGTTCAAGCAATCAATCACCTTCTTGAGTTCTGGGCATTCCAGTTGAGACTTTTGAATTTTGTCCATTGTCGGGTAGCCCTCTAGCTCTTTGTCCATCATTGCATAAATAACGTCAGGGTTAATTTCTGGGTCGTCATCTTTATCATAGAGGACTCTACTCAGGCAGTCAGCTTCTACGTTTTCTTTACCTTTCAGGAATTCTAGAACACAGTCTACACCCTCTAACTCTGTTATCCATCTGGCTAACTTCTTACGGGGGTCTTTCTGTTTTCTTATCCCCTGTAACGATAAATGATCAGATTGAATAATAGGTCTAGTTGTACAGTAAACTTTCCACTTTCTAGTTATCCAAATAACGGCAAACAATTCTTTTTCAGTGGCTGACCAAATTACCTGGGGTTTAGATAGACTTTTGGAGGCGTAAGCTATTGGTAGGTTATCTCCTCTCTCATCTTTCTGGAACAGAATAGCTCCCATTGCTACTCCTGAAGCATCTACTCTAATGTGGAACTGCTTTTCCCAATCAGGTAGATAGAGTTCACTCAGCTCAGATAGACCATCTTTTAATCTCTGGAACGAGATTTCCTCTTTTTCAGTCCATTTAAATGGTGTCTTGTCTGATGTGAGTGTGGTTAGGGGTTTTGCTTCTTCTGCCATTTTTTCATAGAATTTTCTATTGAAATTAGCAAGACCCAGGAAGCGTTGAACCTGTTTTTTGGTCTTGGGCACAGGAAATTGTCTCAGCTTTTCGATATTTTTGGGATCAGGTTTGATCTTTTCTCCGTCAATAAGGAATCCAAGGAATACGATTGAAGATTTGAAGAACTCACATTTATCTTTCCTCAAGCTGAGCTTATACTCCTCTATCACATCGAACAATATCTTCAGGTTTGCAAGGTGCTCTTCAAACGTCTTTGAATAAAGGAATATATTGTCCTGATAGGGTTCTAAGTTAATAACTCCTCTCTTTTTCAGCTCTCTCTTCACTTTGTCCATGTTTCTCTGGAATGTAGCTCCTGCATTTATCAATCCAAATGGCATACGTTTGCACTCATATTTTCCATTGGGAGCTGAGAAAGCAGTTTTCTCTCGATCTTCCTCCCTTAAGGGAATGGCCCAGTATCCAGAAGCTAGGTCAAGCTGAGTAAAGTACTTACACCCTTTGACCTTTTCAATAATATCTTCAACTCGAGGAAGTGGATATGTGTCTGGTTTTGTGTTTTTGTTCAAACTCTTGAAATCTAGCACAAACCGTTTTGTACCATCGTCCTTGTTCACCAGAAGTATATTACTATTGTAGGGAGAATTTGAATGCTGTATTATGTCATTTCTGAGCATCTCCTGGATTTGGTTCTCAACAATTTCAAGTTGATTAAGAGGTAATCTTCTGATTCGATCCTTATGGGGAACATTATCCATGGATCTGATCACATGTTCTCCTAGTGTGCATAACTCCGGAGCTCTATTGTTTTTAGCAAAAGTATGATCATAAGACTCGATGAGGTCTTTTACTTTTTTAACTTCTTGACAAGTTAAACTTTTACCCATGGTGTAGCTTTTGTTCTTCTTTTTCTCAGGCTCATCCATTAAGAATATCCACTCCTTATCCAAGCGTATACGGTTGTTAGCCCAATCGAATTGGGTAGTTTTGAACTGGCTCATGAAATCACGTCCAAGAATCACTGTCTTGCGCTTTGAAGGAAGCTCAATAGGTCTCAAAGGGTAGTCTGTAAACTCATAAGGACCTAGTTCGAAACAACAAAGAACGGGTTCACCAACTTTCTGAGATCCTCCGACACCTAGAACACTTTTACCATTCTGAGTAAAATTCACTGACTCACATAAGTCGGTCGATATAACTGACATACTCGACCCACTGTCGAGAAGAAAGTCTACTCCATCTTCCTGCATCCCTTTGACTGATATACTGCCATCTAGTCATGCTTGGCGGTCTTTTCCTCTAAAGTTCTTCTTCTTATAGGTGAAACTAGGACATTCGAAATCGCTGTGTCCTTTTCCACTACATTTAGAACAAACTCTTTTTCGACAAGTCTCTGCGTAGTGGCCTTGCATCTTGCAGATCTTACATCTTTTGGTCTGCTTCTGATCTCGCTTTTTGTCGTAATAGTAGGCTTCACTTTTCTCCGACGAATGGCAGGAACCCATTGTCACATCCGTTTTCTCTGATTCATTCTCATTTTCTGAACACTCTCCGTAACATTGAATCTCTCTTATTTCATTTATTTGGTTTTGCAGGTCTTGAGCCCAAGGAGGTCTCTCATTTTTCTCCATAGTAACTGTATGGTACATCTCCTCTGTTTCCACTTTAATGGTCACTGGCTTCATTAGCTTGTCCAATTTTTGCTTGAATTTCCCGAATATTACCAACGATTCGGCCTTGGTCAACTCAGCTTTTATCTCAGCTGCATGATCAGCATGGAACTTGTCTCCTATCTTAAAAAACGTTAAGAAGCGTTTTAGTATCACATCTGTAGGTATGTCTGCATCTGTTCCTTTGGCGTATAACTCAAAGTACACAGATGTGCAATCACTGTCTCCATCTGGAGCTTTTACCTCAAAGAACAACTTGGTTTTCTGAATCGTGGAGATGACCCCTTCAATCAGCTTGCTAATTATCTGGATTGCCACTTTAAAGTCTGTCTCTTCTGAAACAGATTCAGCTACAGCCTTCTCTCCCGGAGTCCTTGAGACGTATATAGGTAGCAATTGAATTCTTTGAGCATCATCCATTTTGAGCATGGTTGTGGATGCTACAAAGTCCTTGCACCACTCAGAGATGCGCTGGCCTTTTCCGAGATATGGTATGGGAAGATTCGTGGAGAAACTCATTCTTTTCTTTGAGCAAGTTATGTTAGGAGGAGGAACAAGGGAAACACACACTTCCTATAGTCAACTTGCTAAAAGGGATAAAGCAATGGTTAATAATGTTATCAATACTATTATATAAAATACTATATAAATACTACCTAACAGAGTAGTAAAAGATTAAGTAAAACAAAATTAAAATTATGGGTCGTGTATATTGTACAGGAAAGCAGACATCGGTAATGTTTTTTACAATAGCATGCATTTTCAGAGTGGGTGGGGTAAAACTATTTTCGTTACTTTCCTGAATCTAATCCATACCTTCTGAAAGATTATGATGACCGTCAAACCGCCAAATATCCTTGTTTACTGTTGTAAAAAGACTAGTGCATTTGAGACAATTTCAAAGGTATTGATGTCTTGTGTTGGGCAAGGAAGATACACATTTTATCAGCTAGATGAATCAGAGCCATGGCAAAGACATTGTGCTCTTGTAGTCATTGCATCACATCCTTTAGACGTCTCTCACCGGGCAGTATGTCAGATAAAACAGTACCGCCGGGATGGGGGGAAGATACTTAGCATGGGTGGATATTTTTCAATGTTACTTCCATTGGATTGCTATGGAGAACCTCCAGGACCATGCCTTGACGACTTGTGTTCAACACCATCACAGCTCGAACTTGGCCAAGGCATGGCAAAATCGCTGCTCATGATACCTTCTAAAGCTTTTCATGATAAAGGTATTTTAGCAAAGGCATTGATGGAGTTAGGAATTGATAGCAAATCTGATAATTGTGTACAGCTACAACCATTAAATGTGTTCAGTCGCAACTCTTCTATTTTAGATCAATATTTCAACAGCTTAAAGCTAGCATGTTCTGTTGACAAGAATGGTGAGCTAATTTATCCTCTTGGAGAAGGCCATCCTGATTCTGATGTAAGAATCCTTAGAGGGAAATGCAGCGAATCTCGATTTTATGATGACCACAAAGACATAGACTTTCCAGAAGTTTTTGTACATAGCAAAGCTGTAACCTCAACACAAGATTTATTGTGGAGTAATTCCGTCCTGAGACAAGATGTCTCATCTATGGCAATACTTGCAGACATTCAAATTATTGGAAAAGGTAGAGGAAAAAATCAATGGATATCACCTAATGGATCAATGTCCCTATCTTTTTACTTTACTCTTCAGCGGAATACCCTATTAACAAAGAAGTTGCCTTTTGTTCAATACATCATTGCTCTTGCTACCATCAAAGCAATAAACAATGCTTTTGCCACAATTCCTGCACTGAAGATCAAATGGCCTAATGATATCTACACGATCAACGGAGAAAAGATTGGTGGAGTATTGGTAAATTGTAGCACCAATGGCACACTTACTCAGCTGTGTGTCGGTATTGGACTCAATGTCAATAATGATGAGCCCACCATATCTCTTGCTAAGTTAACTGGAGAGACCATTCCTGTGCCCAAACTGGCAAGTAAGGTATGCCATGCTTTCATCGAAGAAGTGGATCTGTTCAATGAATTAGGATATGAGCAGTTTGTTGAAAGCTTTTGTCAGAATTGGTTGCATCAGGACAAGAAAGTAAAGATAAGTCTGGGAAATGTAAACTGTGATGCAATCATCAAGTCAATTGATTCAGATGGATATCTTAGTGTTATGAATCTGACAACCCAAAAATCAGTCTCTGTTCAACCAGATGGGAACTCATTTGATATGATGGAAAATTTAATTGCTGTTAAGTCTTCCTAATGAATTTGTGTTTTGACTCATACTTAGATTAAGAGTGCTTTGATTTCTATTATCACAGTGCTGGCAAGTACGACAGTCGCCATTATACTCACTATACAATTGTAATAGATTAAGAAGAACTATCCTAAGGCAGCTGTTATACTCAGCAATAAAGATTCAATAAACATCAGCTAATTGGACACCAACTACCACCCTTATCCCCAAATTCTAGGTATCGACCCAAAAGCAACCCAAATAGATTTGTACAGCATATGATTGATGTAATAAATCGAAACTTATTAAAAACTTAAAGCCATGAATGAATGGGAAAAGCGAGCAACCGATTTCATTCTTGGTATCATTTTGCATAAATGCGGAAGGTTATTCAAATTAATATCATTTCTTTTTGTTTGGGAAAGAGAGACACTGGCAGCGGTCCACTCTACCCATGATTATGGGTTTTGGTCAAATTTAAGTCTTAGTAATTTATTGAATTAGTTTTTTTACTGCCTTCGTGATGTTTTGGATTAATCCTTTATTTTATTCTGTAAATTTGGATTTGATGTGTACCTACTTAGTTTCTACTAGTAGAGAATTATTAAGTAAACATGACATGACGTTTAATTTGGTAGTTTTAGAATTGTGTTTCATGTAGAATATCTTGATGAAGTGATTTTCTTGTTTCATGTTAACATAGATTAAAAAATTAGGCCAGCACAAAAATAAACTTGTTTGCAAACCAAGTCTGGACAAACTACTTATTGAATTCAGATTTTAGCCTTGGTTACTCAGATTCTTTTCAGAAATCGTTGTGAGCCTTAACTTAAACTATAACCACGATTACTTCTAAGAACAATTTACATTGAATAATATAGTAGCTATACTTCATTAATTTTATATTTAAAATACTTGCTCTAGCTGTTATGTTGAGGGACCAAGAAACAGTCCACCCTTTGGGTGAGTGTAAATCATGGCCAGAGATCAGGGACAAGTTACGTTTGTGGCGTAAAGAGAATATCCGTTGCAGTGATCAGATAGTGGAGTTGGGGGAGTATGCGCTCAAACACTACTCCACCAACTTGGGCAGGGAAAAGTGGGCTGTGTTTGAGCAGGTATTTGATTCTTGATTGAGACTTATGATTTTTATAAAACAATTTTATGAAATGGTTTTGCTTTCTGTTTAATTATATAACACATTGTTACAGAGGTATTATTCGATAGATTCGATAACATCACGATAATTTAGTTCGCTATTTTCTATTGCTTCAACGCTGGAATTGTCTTGAATTTATTTAAAAACAAATATAATCGCTTAACTATTCTCGTAGAGTCATGTGCTGCCACCCCACAAATAGCTACATACTAACAGTCTCGTGATCTGATTTGCTGCATACTTTACAGCATCATCTATACTCTATAGTTTCTTATATAGCTGACTCCAATATTTACCGATTTAAAATTGCTCTGTAAAATTTTGATTTGTTTGGAGAGGCGAATCATATACAGTTTCTAGGCTCTTGAAATCATTGAATAAAATATCATCTTCAGAAAACCTCCTCAAATTATTTGTTATATAATAGTGTTGAAAGTATTAAAACTATGAACTTTTACTTTATTAATTTATTTCCCCTCCCAGGTATGTGTCGCAGCTCTAGACCTCTGTCCTGCTAAGATGAAGTTGGTTAACACCTGTATCCAGCAGCTCTCTGAACAGTTCCCCTCTTCTCTGAGGGTTTCCATGTTGGAGGGCCTCAAGTATGAGTATCTCAAGAAGTGGGATGATGCGCTGGAGATGTGAGTTTTATGTGTTTTATGTGCATATTTATAATCAATTATGTGTATTTGTGATCAATTATTGAGATCGACACTACTTGATTGATCTGTTTATGACGATAGCGATCAGTAATTACACAGGAAATTTGATTTGTATGAGACAATGCAATAGAAAGGCCATCTTAGGACACGAGGAGTATTAGCACTCCTGAAACGATATAATTGTGAATTCAAAAATCACAAAATATACATTTTGTGTTTCATTGTCATAATATGGGTATAAACTTTAGACGCATATAAATAATATGTACATATAATGTAAATGTGTATAATGTATAATGTATAATGTATGAATTCGTTATAAACTAATCATGTTTACCCAGGTACGAAGGAATGATAGAATATGAGCCAACATTTCCTGCTCCCTACAAACGTAAAGTGGCTATATTGAAGGCTCAGAACAAGATATCCGAGGCAGTTAACGATCTCAACAGATATCTCAATACTTTTAGGTAGATCCTATCTTCTTGAATAACAAAGTATACAATAGTTGCAAGCCCCCTGCCCCTGCGTAACTCAAACTTGAAATTTTGAAGTCTGATATTTTTGGTTGTATATGATTAGTTTAATAGACTTATAATTATAGACTAATCAGCTAATTAGTTTCTTTTAGTTGTGACCACGAGAGTTGGACCGAGTTATCTGACATCTACATTTCAAACCAAAACTACAAACAAGCTCTGTTCTGTGTAGAAGAGCTTCTACTGCAGTATCCTCATAATCATCTATATCATCAGAGATACGCTGGTAATAACAATGTTTTTGTAGAATTAACCTTACAGGATCATCTTAGACTCAACAGGCTGTTATAAGAATACCGTAATTCATCTGTTAGTCCATCAACTTGAATCAGCTATAATAATATGTAAAAACTTAAAGACCCAATTATTACCAGATATCCTGTTTACAATTGGAGGTAAAGATAACCTAGAGCTGTGTTGTAAGTACTACTGTAAAGCAGCGGAGCTCAATCCTGGAAATGTACGAGCCCTCTTTGGTATCCAGCTTGCTTCCTCTACTCTTTCTAGCATAGGTTTGTCATAACATCAGTACACGTGTCACGCATCACGCATCACGTGTCATGTGTCACGTGTCACGCGTCACGTGTCACGTACACACACGCTGCGCATGTACTGACTGCAGACTATACAAGTACAAAACTCTGCAAGCAACCCTAAAATACATATTTGCATCACACTCCACCCTATTATTGTGCATTTCTTAGTCAGCTTGATCTTTTAAGGACCGGATTTGAAAAAACTTCCAGTTGGTTTTTTAATGGTTCACCATTAAATTTCATCACCATATAACGTCTATTATTCATTCTTTTGTAAATATGTATTCGTTTATGATCTGCTACAAATAAAACAATACTTTTAAAGGTAAATTATCGAGTAAAGCAAAGTCAGACAACCAGTCCCTAGCAGCGTGGGCGAGTGACATGATAGAGGATTATTATAAATCTCAGAAAACATCTAAAAACTTGATTGTGGAAGTTGTGGGAGTTTTAGATAAATTATCTCTAAAATAGCGGGTCTTAGCTGTATGATTGTGGCTAAGATATGGGCGTTTCCTTGACTCAGCCAGGTAGCTGTTGACTGTTGGTTATAATAGCTGGTGACACTGCAAGACTGCAGCAGGAGGTACAAGCTTTTGTACCTTCTCAGCTAAAATCAATGGTGATTGGTGGCATGGGCGTACTGCTTTATGTTTTACGGACACGTTTCGTTTGTTTCTGAGTGCTGTTCCTTAGACCTATAATAACAATTGCTGTTTTCTATTATTCCAGTTTCAAATCTGTGTTTCTCGCTTCGGTAATTAAATTCAAAAAAATATGTTTACGTTGGGATTTCGACTTGTAATTTATAAAAGTTATAAATAACAAAGTCTACTAATGATTTATGAATTTTGATTGATTTTTGATTTGTTATCGACCCATATAATATTTGATCTCATGTTCTAAAAGTTCGTATTCGTTGCTAGATAACTTGATACCAAAATTAATAAACATGAGAATAGAGAATTTGGAGGAGATTCGTATCATAAGTGTACTCATACTGTCTAAAAACACTGGACAGAAATACAGATTTAACCAATACCCACCATGGTTCAAAGGATATAGTCATAAATTTGTCTTGATTCATTGAAGATAAAGGGGAATGATTTAAAATTCTCCATTACAAACGATTAAAATTTAGGGCATATTAAATAATGTCTAAAAATATTTACAATTTAGAGTATAATGTCTACATCAGCCGTGACAAGCACTAGGAACCAACCTACTAACAAATCATGGGAGCTAAGCTTGTACGAGTTACACAGACAGCCTCAACCTGCTATTACTGATGATACTGGTGCAGCTATTTTATATATATTTTATTTTTTTCTTTGTTTTTACATCTCTGTTTTCCGTTTGTTCTATTGTTTCTGCGTAAGCTTTCTTGTTTCGGATAGGTAGTTCTCCTTTTTTCAACAACTTCCACAGTTTAATCATCACTGTTACTAATCAGGGACGTAGCCAGGATTTTTCTTTGAGGGGGGCTGTCGGTTAGCGAAGCGAGCCGACGTGTCCAATCCAGCTGCGCAGCGAGCGAAGCAGGGTGTTTTAGACGACATTTGGCATTAAAGAAATTTGTAGGACAGCAATAAACTGGGATTGAAAAGAATCAAGTACTCACGTAAATTTGGTAACTTCACAACAGCAATCTGCATTATCCAATCAGAATTTACGACTTACTCAGGCCTCATCGTCTTAAGATTTTTACATTTCCTACGGTCTAGGGGACACTATTGACTAGCCCCCCCCCCCTGTCTACGTGCCTGTTACTAATCAGTAATTACCCCTAATTACATTATAATTACAGAGATTGTCTTGTTGTTGTTACTAATCAGTAATCACCCCTAATTACATTATAATTACATTCTAATTACAGAGATTGTCTTGTTGTTGTTACTAATCAGTAATCACCCCTAATTACATTATAATTACAGAGATAGCAGTTCAAGCAAAGGACCTACACACCGAGCTGATGTGCCCTATTTGTCTGGATCTGTTGAGGAAAACAATGACTACTAAAGAGTGCTTACACAGGTGTCTTTTGAATAAAACACATGCCAAATATTTAAAACGTGCCAAATTTTGAACTCCGGTCACTGCTCACTGACCAGTAATTGGTCTCTAACCAGTGATTGGTTTCTAACCAGTGATTGGTTTCTAACCAGTGATTGGTTTCTAACCAGTGATTGGTCTCTGACCAGTGACCAGTGATTGGTCTCTTACCAGTGATAAGTGAGCACTCTCTCAACCCCCCGCCCCCTGGCCCCCCGGCCCCCTGACTGTTAACATTACCCAGGTTCTGTCACGAGTGTATAACCACTGCACTGAGAGCCGGCAACAAGGAGTGCCCTACTTGCCGCAAGAAGCTCGTCTCCAGACGCTCACTCAGGTAACATTGCACGTGATGCCCAAATAAGGTAACATTGCACGTGATGCCCAAATAAGGTAACATTGCACGTGATGCCCAAATAAGGTAATATTGCACGTGATGCCCAAATAAGGTAATACACATTGTACTTTAGGTATGTAGTAGGTTTGTGTTGTCATTGAAACGGCTAATTAACTGAAAAATTAAATGTTATCCTATTTCGTTTGTTTTAAAGGATCTTTTGGGATTAAGTTAGGTGTCGTTCTCGTAGTTTGAAATACTGATTAAAATATGTTCCACGATAAATTATTTTCATATTAATCTAATTATGTAATTAATTATTTAATTAATTATGCAATTATTTCAGACCGGACCCTAACTTTGACAAGCTGATGTCTAAAATTTACCCTAATCGTGAAGACTACGAGCAACAGCAGGAGCAAATGTTTTCAGCTATCACTAAACATCACAGTCAACTATCTTTCCAGGTACTTGTACCCTCCTCGCCTCTCTGCTGTCTATATTAATAATATCTTAGTCCTGTCGATATTAAACAACATTGCGATTTTATCTCCAACAATATTCACCCGAGACGGCACTGTAATTCCTTGCCTAGAATCATTACGTGTTAATCAGGACATAGTCAGGACATAACAAGGCCATGTAAATGTCACTATGACAGACAGGCGTCATAACCAAGTCACAACTAAAAAATAAAAAAGTGGTCACTATACAGACCTAAGATGTCTAAATATTTCAAATGTATCCACCAGCTTCTGAATGCGGATGAACGGTCGTTCATAGTCATCTCGTATCTGCTCTAATAGCATACCAACTCCAGCAATTTACTCTGAAAAAGTACAAACAACCTGACACATGTGTATTGTGTATTTACCTACTGTATTTCAGGCGTGTGTGGAGGAGAGTTTAAAGGTGCAGGCTTCTACACGACACTCAAAAGTACAGTTACCTAGCATTGACGGGTCTAGCGATACCATGTTAGTTGTGTAGTCACTTAATTATTAATTATTAGTCACATTATTAATTATTAGTCACTTAGTTATTAATTATTAGTTACTTAGTTATTAATCATTAGTCACTTATATTTATTAATTATTAGTCACTTAATTATTTATGATTAGTCACATTATTAATTATTGATTAGTTTAATTATTAATATCTATTGTTTAACGAATTCGTTACTTTTCATATAGAGTAATTTTATGATTTTTCTTTACTTAACATTTCACCCTACATAGAATGGTGTTGGTTGTACTGTTCGCAACACTGATTATCTTAGCTGCTGATGCTCGAATTCAGAACAGTGTTGAAGTGAATAATGAGGATAATCCCCTGAACCTGCCGAAGTATCCAGCTTTGGCCATTCAAATGAGCAAGGAGGATTATAGTTATGAAAACCGTTCGCCAAGGATCGAATACAGTCACAGAGGCCAATTCAAGTTTTGTGTAGGAAGAGTTGTAGGGCGTCCGGTTGAGGAGAACGTTTGGAATCCAATAAACCAAACCACATACCAGAACTATTACTTTCGATACGTTAAAGTTGACATGACGGAATGCAAATTCAACCAATTTCCTAAAATCCAGGAACTGTTCTTTGACAACGACAAAAAATACTACCCTGATTACGATAACTACGGTTACAACATCTCCTTACCATGTAAGCAGACGCCAATCAACAGCCTCTACTTCCTGATATACAATCCACAAGGAAGACCTGATTACAAGTTTAAAGTACGCTGGACTGCCTATATCGACATTGGCGTCTTTCCTTCTCCTATTGCACCAATAGATGAGCATTACGAGCCAGATGCCTTCGATCCTGCCTCTTACATCTACAAATTTGACGATTAGATTGATACAACTTTCTCAACGTAGTCGATTCTTTTTTATTTTCAGTAAAAATTTGCAAAATAATTGTATTTTATAAATTTTGGGCAAAAGCGAACTTTTTCCTCATTTTTCGTCATTTTCGCCAAAATTTTAAATGAACATTTGTGTTTACCCATTTACTTGATTGGCAAGTTTTACTTTTACCACGAATATGCTGTTTCCAACTTATGAATTTCTTTAGACTTATTTTCCGATAAAGAAACGCTAAACTATCTATCCAAATGGTTTTCATTCATTATTTTTAAAATGAAAAAAGACTTTCCTGGGTGCTCTTATCTATGACTTCTTATCTATGACTTCTCCGCTTTGATGCATTCTTATTGGTTTGGAAACATTCACTGGTAACGGATTGTTCTTAGGATATCGGGATTTGTTTTAAAAAAGTATGTTAAATATAGATTTTTGTAAAATTTGCGAAACTTTTATTAAATTTGTATGTTTCCATTTGTATTTCTTTTTTATGAAGATGACAAATATTGTGAACTGTTATATATTGTATTTTTATCTTTTACATCATTTTAATATGATTAAAAAAAATAAAAAAAAAAAAAAAAAAAAAAAAAAATACAAACTCACAAAGCCGTACCCCAGCCTACTACTTATACTTGCCGCGCCAAAATTTTCACAAAATTTTTACAAAATCTTTAAGGGATTATAGCTTACATCTTATGGTTATAATGAAAACCCTCGCATAAAAATATATAGTCATGCCCGTGCTCTTATCAGCTTATCGTAAGTTACTAGAATTGTTGCCCGAGTTTTTTAAACACTTTAGAATAGTTCTGAAATCAGTACCGCTATCGTAATATTGTAATATTGTAGACTACGTTACGATTCTATCTACACACAGAGCTGTATAGTTCTTGATAGGTAGGTCTAACAAGTTTTCTTTTTCTTCTTTACGCTTTCTCAGCACACAGTTTATTCCTCATTCATTCACACGCACACACATTAGCATTTTATACATATTCTTAGACTGTACAAGCTATTCTATACACCATACTATACACTCTTATCTATTTAATATCTTACTTAATTATTCACAGATATCTGGTATTTACACATCTTGAACAATGGTTGAACCTAGTTTCAAATCACAATGCTCAAGTTGCTTCGGGTGGTCTTATGCTCCTAGAAATGTTTTCATTTGTCCTGTATGTGACAAACCAGTTCATAAAAAATGCCTCAAAGATTATCTTGGTTGTATTACATGCTGTCAAAACCTAATACCTGGCTATAGAGTAACTTCCTACGAACTTAATGATAATTACAATACAATAACCCCCACTTTTAACCCCTATATTCGTTCTCACGTACTGAATCAAATAGGCGAACTTACTGATGAAATAGAATCCAGCGAAATCGAACTCAACAATTGTATATCGGAGATATTGGTTAGCTGTAAGTACCAACACCCTGATAATATCAAGACCCCTAGCAATCGCGAATTTAAGATACTTTCGTTAAACGTTAGATCACTCGTGAAGAATATCTCAAATTTTAGAGAAGAAATAGAAACATTCTCCAAATTTGACCTCATCTGCCTCAATGAAACCAACTGTAAAATTTCTAATCTTCCTAATGGTCTGAATGACATTGAAATCAAACAGTTTTACGAGCCCTTTATCAAAGAACCTGCACGTAAATCTGGAAAAGGAGGTGGTCTTGCGCTCTATATTAACAAACACGTTTGTGATTACGATAAAATACAGGAACTCGAACTCAATCTGAGTCCAGAAGAAGTTACTTGCGGAGAATTTCAATTGCTTAAAATCAACAATTTTAAAAACGGAAATAAGACAAAAATCATCGTAAATTTCTACCGCTCGCCATCCACAAGCCCTAAAAAATTCCTTGAAAAGTTTGAAAACGTGCTCAGGGGTCTTGATAGACACTCCAGAAAGCAGATAGTCTTCCTGGGTGATGCAAATATTGATCTTATAAAATACGATACCGACGCTTACAGCCAGGATCTTATAAGCTTACTAGAAAAATATGGGTTTGCCCAGACTGTCTCCAAGCCTACCAGGGTAACTGACCACAGTGCAACGCTTATTGATCACGTGTATACTAATCACGTGACCAACGTTATTAGTTGTAATGTCGTGACGTTGGATATGTCAGATCATCTCGCGGTTAGCACGACCATTAGTTTAGGAGCCACACCTAGTTTGAACGAGCGATTCCGTAGTCAACGTGTAAAGAACAACAACACTAGCTTGAAATTAGAGGCCCGTGTATTTAACGAAGCTAATCATGCGAAATTCAAAGAGCTTATTGTAAGTGAGACCTGGGATGATGCTACCTCCTCAACGTGCGCTGATGAACAATACAATTCCATCTATCAAACGTACATGAAACACTACAATACTGCATACCCCCTGAAGCGCGACAGTTCGAGAAGAAAATTCGAAAGAGCTGACCCAAAGCCTTGGATCTTACCCTGGCTTGAGGCGGCATGCAACCGCAAGAAGTTACTTTTTTTTGAAAAAACTATAAATCCATCACAAAAAAACAGCGACGCGTATGATAAAATGAAAAAGTTTTGTCACAAACATGTGAATCTAGCCAAAGAAAAGTACTATAAAAAAATGTTTGACAAATACCAAAACTGCTCTAAAAGTCAATGGAAAATTATCAATGGCCTCCTGAACCGTAACAGAAAAAAGTTCGGACACACCCGTCTGAAGGACGACGATGGCACGATTATAAGCTCCGATCTGGCAGTCGCTGAGAAATTTAACGGCTACTTCTCCGGTATTGCAGCCAGTATCAAGAGGCAAATCGCTGCCCGTCGAACCTTTGACCCAGGTGGTTTCAAGCATTTTCTTAAGGCTTCGTGTAGTAACTCGATGTTTCTTAAGCCTACATCACACGGTGAAGTCCAAAAGATAATATCAGGGCTTAAGAACAAGTCCACACTCGATTGTAAAATTGAGCCATTGAAAATTGCAAACAGCTGCGAAAACTTTACCAGGGCACTAGCTAATGTCATTAACTGTTCGTTCTCCAGTGGTACCTTCCCAAATGCTCTAAAAACTGCGAAAGTCGTTCCTATCCACAAAGGTGGTTCAAAATTGGAAGTAGCTAATTATAGGCCGATCTCTCTTTTGGGATCATTCTCGAAAATTTATGAGAAACTTATGCATGCTCGTGTTTTAGAATTTTTAGATAAGAACGATTCTCTTTTCGAAAATCAATACGGATTTCGGCCAGGAAGATCGTGCGAACATGCACTGCTCAATGCCCAAAATTCTATACTACACTCTCTGAATAAGAAACAAATTTCCCTACTGCTCCTGCTCGATTACAGTAAAGCCTTTGATGTGCTTGATCATGAGACCTTGCTTAAGAAGCTTGACCATTATGGGATCAGGGGAGTCGCGCACGAATGGTTTAGATCTTACCTTTGTAATCGATCTCAATACGTAACTTTAAACGGAACTTGCTCTTCTAGCATGCCCATAGTTTACGGCGTACCTCAGGGTAGCATTTTAGGACCTCTCTTATTTGTAATTTATATAAACGACCTACCTGGAATTAGTGATTTTGCAAAGTTTATCCTTTATGCCGACGACGCAAACATATTAATTAGTGGAACCACCCTAGAAGAAATACAATTAAAAGCTAATCAGCTAATTTCACGTCTTGTAGATTGGGTAGGTGTTAATGGGCTATCTTTAAATGTAAAAAAGACGTGTTACATGATTTTCACTAGAAAAAGAATCGACTTCAGCGGCTTTAATTTGTCCATTGACAACACTGTAATCGAACGTAAGACTGAAGCAAGATTTTTAGGAGTGATCCTAGACGAAAAGCTCACTTGGCAAAAACACATTACGGCCGTTAGAATAAAGATGGGTCGCTACCTCGGAGTTATGTATAAGCTAAAGCACCTTCTACCTATCAAAGCCCGCCTAAACATTTTCCAAAGCCTTATCCAATCCCATCTAAATTTCTGTTCTTTAGTGTGGGGATTTGCCTCAAAATGTCACATTGAATCTCTGTTCACCAAGCAAAAGCAGGGAATTAGAGCTGTTATGTCAGGATATGTAAATTATAGATATAAAGACGGCAATCCCCCGGAGCACACAAAAAGTGCGTTTAGATTGCATAATATCCTAACAGTCCATAGCGTCATTGTAAAAAACGCTCTTATTCTACTACACAAAGTAAGGAACATGCCAAGCCTTCTCCCTAAATCCATCAAAGAACTTTTCCCTCACGATATTCCCACCTATAATTCCACATACGAACATAACCTTTCTTGGTTCACAACTTACAACGGCCCAACATTTAGAAATACTCTTTTCTTCAAAGGACCCATGCTCTCTATTACAAAACAAAGTAAGGATATAACTATTCCAAGTTCTACCTTTTCAATTGAAATCTTTAAAAATTCAGCTAAGCGCGAACTCCTCAAGCTGCAAAGCTCAGGAGACGATGAAAATTGGCCAAATTTCTTACTTTATAGTATACCTGGGCTAAGAAAGTCTCAAAGAGAAGGGCGCTCGCAAATAGACTACAGCACCGAGTTAGTAAGCGACAACGCGTAAAGAAAGATCACTCGCGACAAATGACTTACATGATCTTTTATCAACAACATATCATTTTAATTTCACTGCCATTATGCAATGCCGAATTTACATCTGCCGCGCAAAACTTTTTATCTATTATTATTAAATAGTAATTAGCATGTTTACAAATTGCGACTTCAACCAGTTTTGCAGACCGTTAGTTATATAGTACTTTTAGTAGGGCATTTATTTTAATATATTTATTTTACATTATTATATTTTAGTGTGACTTCTATAATTTCATTTATGTAATAACCATTGATCAATAAATTGCGGCACACGCCAACCTCCACCGTGGGGTTTCAAAAAAAAAAAAAAAAAACGATTGTTGTATCATTTTAATTTGAGGCTTTGAAGAGAAATATTCATCGTTATCTATGATAAAAAATAGTCTATCAACAAAATGAAAAAATGGTGTCACAACTATTCAGTTTTCATTGCTAATGGAGACTGGTATCACGGGGGTGACATAAATACAAAGTAGAATGATACACGATTAAAGGTCCTGAACAGACATCTTTACTTCAGTCCCAACTCCCCATACTATTAACAGTTCAACTAACCTAATAATTAGTAATTAGTCATTAGATAATGAGGTAATTACAATTTCAGTCGCTGGAGTGGAGGACAGAGTTCAGATGAGGAAACGTCGTCAAACAAGAGGAGTAGAGTGTGTAGTGCTAGTGAGGATAGTCTCGAGGGTACTTTATACTTTTATATCACTAATCTAAAATCTTACACTTGGATTAAAATAATCTGACACTTTTTGACATAAATCTAACACTTAAAAAAATAATATAACACCATACACGACCAATCGGCATGGCATCTTGATAATTCAACACTTATGTTAATTAAATTGTAATTTTGCCAGGAAGTGTAAGTGACACAGCGGAGGAAACAGTGGAGATAATCCTGAAGCCGAGAAATGCTAACTCAACAGCTGAGAGCAGATATCTGAAAACAACAAGCAACGCTTCGATTCAACACATCAAGTGAGTCATTTTTCCCCTTACTTCAGTTTCTATTATTCACACTTTTCGTAAAATGTTACTAGTAAAAAGTGTAGCACAAAAATTTTAACCATTATTTCAAGATTCCTCTGCATATGGCGATTAAAACCTTCGTGTAACACAAAGCTAACATATTTCCCGACACGTGATGCCCATATAAGGAAACATATTTCCCGAACTAAACTAAACCCCTTCAGAAGATATCTGATAGTGCGAACCCCACAAGCTGAGAGCAGGACTCCAACCAGTGAGGGTGCGCCGCCTCCCCCACCTCCCCCACCTCCCGAAACTACCTTCATCATCACTGTCATACACGACGGTAACCACGTGACTCTTCCCAATAACATGACCTTGGAGACTGTGATGGACAGTTACGTTAGTGAGGAGTGTCCCCTGGAAATGTACTTTGCTCCTGTTTAGATGTGGGGGAAGAGATGTTATCAAAACTCACAATATTCGAATGTTAGATACTATCAAAATTCAAAATATTTGAATATTAGATACTATCAAAACTCACAATATTCGAATAACGGATACAATATGACTCACAATGTATTTTTACAGTTCTGAGATCACTAGAAACGACACCTTCTCCCGTTTTTACCATGTATTTTAATTCATCGTTCTGTTCCACATTACTTAGTTTAGGGGAAGTGACAAAACTATCGAGGAGAACTGTATAAACACTAAACAGTCCCAACTGTCACTGACTTCACGCAGTGTATATCTATACTTGTGGGTGTGCTTTGACGAATTGAGTTTGATATTCCGGGAACAGTTTTATCATCATAACACGGAAGTAAAGAAATATCGACTTGCTCTTTATCAAATCAAATATAAGATGTAAATGTCAATGATTATTTTAGATGGCGAATTTTTCTGTGGAACAAGAGACAAGAGAGACTCTTGAAGAGCGTTCATTTAATTTTTCAGCCTTCAAACTATCTCAATCCTTCGTTTATTCCCATTGTATCCATTTAAAAGGATGAATATGTGATCTCGATTGAAAATATTAAAAGTATGTAGATGTTTCAACGAATTTCCCTTAATTATGTGAATGGTTTCTTTTGTTAAAATTTGCCAGTATTGCGTAGGTCACACTGCCAAACGACGTTTTTGTGACGCGCGAGTTTTTCCAATGTATTCATTAGCGCGCACGACCGCACGTACGTGCGCGCTGTTTTCATGATATTCTGTAGAAATTAGTACCGTCGGTAGAATAGATAATTATAGATGACCTAATATAATACAGCTTCAAGATTGAAGCTAGCCAGTCGCGATGCCGCATCACTCAAAAGCGAAGAATGAATGCTGTCTGTTGAGTTCCTTGTTTCTCTATTGGGTGAAATAACATGACTCAGCTTTTCCTCATGCGAGACAATGAGCGTATAGTAGGTAGAATTTTAATTCTCTCTCCCTCGAGATTGTAAGACTGCAGCTGGTGTTTATTAAAATATTCTCCTATCTAGTTTGCATACACAATACACAAATTGACTGATGTAATTCCCTCATGGCTTGCTGGTTACCATACAAATGTATAACGATATCGTATTAATCACAGCTAGAAATGTTGAAATCATCTGAGTTGCGCGGCTCTCAGACGTGCACGTGCCATTCATGCGCTTACTTGGCCGCACAATCGTGTTTTATTACCAGCTTTCGTTAATTCGTTTCACAACTTACTTCTCGTTTAGTTTTTTCACATCAGAGGCAAAATAGACGATTATATGACCAAAACAATATGGCCTAGAAGTGGAAACGGTTGGCAGTCAAACTGAAAATGCATACCCCATCACATGGTATGTTGTCATCCAATCAAAGGGAAGTTTTTGATCGGTTATCTTGAAGCAGCATGGTATCAGAATCATTGGCGTGTATGAAATCAATATTTTCAAAGGGTCGTAATTTTACTTCTGAGTATCGTAGTCTATCGAATGCAATTTTTTCTTTGTCATTTGTTTGAGAATTTTGTGTTGATGTACTTTACAGTTCACAACCCGACCCGTTATGTACGCCGTTGTTTAAAGTGTCGATTCCAAACTTCAAATTTATGAATGATGAAGAAGTAAGGGGCTTATGTGTAATTTTGTTGTTACATTTTTTCCGATATTTGTCTTTAGAATAAAGTGAGCAGCTTTTCAGCGAAACATAGTGAAATGCCCCCTCGCCGGCCACAACCGAGTTAATCAGTACGCGATGCATGGCCATGATTACGTGCCCTGATCACTGATCGGAGACCCCATCGGCCATTGCATCACGAGTTACGTAGGTCACGTTTGATTCTAGCCAGACTGTGTGATGTAACCAACGTGATAATCTAAGGTACGAACTACGAGGCCCGAGGGTTTAATAATTTATACACAATCAATATTGTGTTACCAACATTTCAATGATGAACTTAACTATATGACTTTGATACCGTTTCACTTGTGATCTGGCTTGGTTGATAACAATTCTTCTTTTAGTTCCAGGAGACGGGAACTTTAACGTTGCGAATTTCTCTCAAATAGAGTTTGGAAGCTAGCTGGTACGCGTAGCCGAACAAGCTAAAGCTTCGAACAAGCTAAAGCTTCGACCAAGCTAAAGCTTCGACCAAGCTAAAGCTTCGACCAAGCTAAAGCTTCGACCAAGCTAAAGCTTCGAACAAGCTAAAGCTTCGAACAAGCTAAAGCTTCGAACAAGCTAAAGCTTCGAACAAGCTAAAGCTTCGAACAAGCTAAAGCTTCGAACAAGCTAAAGCTTCGAACAAGCTAAAGCTTCGAACAAGCTAAAGCTTCGAACAAGCTTAAGCTTGTCTCGTGTTCTAAACTGTAAATAATGTTTTGAACCGATTGAAAGTCTTCTGTGAATTGTACTGATATCACAATGCTGGCAAGCATTACCGTCGCCCTTATATTCACAATACTATTTACCCCCTATACTATTATATCCCCTTTATTGTTTTCCAGGCATTAAGACTCATCGAAAGTAGTTCAGCAGGTACATTTAAGTTCAAAACATTCTAATTCAATGTTAAAGATGACAGGAATAAGAAATAGTTATATGGAGGTCTTTAAGAAATTTGCGCAAAATACGCGCCAGCATGTTATACGAAATTAGGTAAAAAACCCAAAATCCCCATATTCAGGTGCCTTAAAAACCATGTTAAAATTGAGTTAGAGATCTGAAACTTTGCAGGGCGTCTAGACCTTGTCCAAATCGACTGTAAAAATAATTTCATGTTTCAGGAGTATCGTGAAGTGGGTTTTCTGGAACCCCTGTTTTACAACAGATTGTCGTGAAGATATATATATATGTATGTATAGACGCTTTTTGCAGTCAATTGTAGCCTACATTTAAGTGTCCGTAGATTCGAAAGTATAAACGATACAGTCATCTCGAACCACAGGTTTTAAAGATAATCGTTTAAGCTTTAGTTTACATTGTATTGAAAAATAATTTAACTTCATCATCATCACTTGATGACGTCATCAAGTTAAGTGTTTTTAAAACTTGACTTTTGACAAAGTAACAACTTTTCAAATCGATTTTACACTATTAAGAAGTAATTTTATTCAAAATCTGAGGACATTTTCATCTTAGATAATTGTTCAAGCATTCCGAAAATCTACCGGAATAGTTTCCTACCTTGCTCCTTCATAAAGATATTTGCTATTGAAGTTAGTGCTTTTTTGAAGAATAATTTTATAAAAACATAAAAGTTGTGAATTAGTATTCTCTGGTGTTGGGCCATCCCTTGGGTTGTGGAGCTCAATTTTGCTTCTTAAAGGTGTAAATTGTGTTATAGGCTAGTTTTAAAGTTAAAAATCGAAAAGTTGCACACGTGGGGACACGCCCAAACTGATTTAAAATAGCTAAAATCACTAAAAATTTTGATTTTCACGATTTTTATCAACTTTGGAGTCCCGTTGTGATCCAAGTTCTTTTTGAAATCTTCTGAAACTTTGCATGCTTATCAAACCATATATTAAATACCACTATGCAAAAATTTACGGTGATTCAATATTGTATGCGCACGCAACGTCCGCTCAAAGTTTGCACGTGCGAAAGGTGAGAATTTTGCTCATTCGTGATTTCGAATATATTCTGCTTTCCACGATATTTAAATGGCATTATATATGAATTTAATGCAAACTTGAATGAGTAAAAAGTGCCATATTCAGTCGGTTATCGACAGATATACCTAACTAAACACAAGGAAACGTTTTCAAAGGCAGAATTTCGAAATCGTCGAAATTACCTCCTTGTTAATGAAGTTTCGACTGTGTAAATTATCCTGACATTATAATCAAAAAGAGATGATATTTGACCAAAACCCATAATCATGGGTAGAGTGTACCGCTGCCAGTGTCTCTCTTTTCCAAACAAAAGGAAATGATATTAATTTGAGGAACCGTCCGCTAATGCAAATTGATACCGAGAATGAAATCGGTCGCTCGATTTTTCCATTCGATCACGGCTTACGAATTGTAATAAAGCTTATTGATTTGAAAAAGCGAGCGACCGATTTCATTCTCGGTATCAATTTGCATTAGCGGACGGTTCCTCAAATTAATATCATTTCCTTTTGTTTGGAAAAGAGAGACACTGGCAGCGGTACACTCTACCCATGATTATGGGTTTTGGTCAAATATCTATACTATATTTTAAACTTGACGAAATTTCCCCGGCAACGGGGACATAGAAGAAAAAACACCGAAAATCGACCTCAAAATGACTCTCTGGTGAAGCCAAACCCAGCTCGCAAATGGAGTTGAAACCTCGCCATTTTTAGCAGGGTTGTAGAAAAAGGATAGGAATAGGCTATAGCAGTCTTAGAATTTTGATTTAGGCTTTAGATTTTTTATAATTAACGTCGGAAGTGAGGTTAAATAATCGTTAGAATAATGCCAATGGCGTTATTTTAGCAAAGGTTTACTGCGCTGTTGCGTAGCAACGATAAAAATGCACGTGCGCGAGCAAGAACATCTTAACAACCCGCGTTGTTATGCTGTATGCTACGTCATAATTTCAAAACTAGCTCACATTTACGCTCACGCTATGACTTATATTCATAACTTTGGTTGTGATTGGTATTTTTTGATGCGGTAAAAAGTATCGTTTTGGGAATCCGAATACTAACAACGCTGTCGCCATTGTTAGATAAATTCCATTATGTCTACAGTATAACAGAGCTATATGATGAAGAGAAATTAAAACATAACTGATTTTTGAAATTTCCTCGAACAAAGCTTTCGACTAGCGGGTTTCTAGTATAGCTGGTTCTGTAATCTATTGCTCCACTAAAACTGTAAAAGTAAACCTAGATTACAGCAATACAGGCCTTGGTTAATAGTTTTCGTGATCAACAGTTGTTAATGTTTCCTTTCGTAGCCTTATAGTCCTGATCGTTATAGGAATGGCGCGGTTATTTTTCACTTTATTTGCAACTTAGGACTGCTCATCACCAGCTCAGAGATCAGCTCTTCAATTTGCTGTTAATGCGTTATTTACCATGAAAGGACGTGTTGGTCGACACCAAAGTAATCTTTTAAAGTTTATTATAAATGATTCGAATAAAATAAACCTACCATTACGTGATATTAATGATCTTTATGATCTTAGGGCTACTGCCTCTAACAGAGTTTTGTGGAGAAAATTATTTACCTCATAATTAACCTTTATTTTTCAGAGAACTGTTATGTTTTTTGGGCACTTATCAGTCTCTTAAGATGTTTCTTTACTATTTCGAGATTGTTTTAAAAGTTAGATAATAATTTGCAACTTATAGCATTGATTGCCCCGGCACCCCTATTGATTCTTAATCCAGTCGTGATAATCTCGATTTTGCTAGTTAAACTGCATGATTTCTAGAATTATCTTTATTTCAGGGTACATGGGCCGGGAGCAATCGTGGTTTCCATGGCTACACTGGATTAGCTTTTCGGTATTTAGATTAAACAAGCAGTCGCGGTGGGAAAAATAAAATGAGAGTTATGGGTGAACACGTTATATTATGCAGTGGTTTGAGTCTGTTTGTTGAATTAAAGATGGACAATAAATTATATCATTC